AAGTTTCCTTACTTTTGAATTCAAGTTGACATGAGGAACATAGATACCTTTCGTTACAGCTGTCTTTTTCTGGATTTTTGTCCATCGATAAGCAGTCTAGTGGTGTTACTTTTTCATATGTACTGTGGGTCTGAGTGGGTACCTTATTTTCAATTTTTGGTAGCTTTGCTGTGGAAGATGAAGTATGTGACCTTATGTTAGAAATATGACAAAGTCCAAGTGATAAGAGATGTTCGCACTGGGCATCTTCTTCGTCTTTGCTTTTCCTAGATGTCGGGGAATTTGCAATACTTAAAGGGGGGATGGAACCATCAGGGCCAGACTCATCCAACTGAAATTGCGATGCATCTTCCTCAAAGAGTGAATTAACTTCACTAGCATTGGCTACATTTGCATTACTACTATGATCTCCAATACTCATGTCACAAGACTCTGGGCTCATTGTGTTCAGTATTCCATACATAGGCAACAAGAATGGCATTTTCTCTAGGTTCTCCTCATTCTCCTTGTTTTCCTGAGCAATTTCTTCACCTATCTCAAAAGAATGATGTTCTTCTTGATCAGTGCCTTTCACACCGGGAATGAAGTGTTCTTGGTCTATGTGGTGAGAATCAGACACGTGAAGGCACATCTTATTTTTTAGGCTACTAGTAAACTGACATAATTTGCATCTATAAATCTCCACCAAAAATACCTCCACCAGACGGGCTATCCGTGTGTCAAATTCCTCGGCAACAGAGTTATGAAAGTGTGAGGTTGCAATCTCTGCACTGATATGCAAAGTGGTTGGAGTGATATACTGGTATTTAGACTTTAGCTCATTCATCTCTTGAGAAATACAGTGTACCTAAAAATGAAATAGAAAATGTATTCAGAAGAATGCATTAAATAAGTACACTTGCTTCTAAATAAATGTTGCATTAAAGTATTTATTCCTGACCCTAAAGTGTCAGGAATAGGGTCACTATAGAAATATAGTAAAATCGTACCTTTATTGCAGTCTGCTGCTGTTGGCTCTGTCCCTGATCTGCCTGCTTGGCATCATCACAAGTGGGGTTCTGGGCCAATCACAATACTTTCCATGAAAGCAATAGCTTGGCTGAGCTTGTCAAGGAGGCAGATCAAGGGCATAGCCAGCACAAACCAAACACAGCTGGCTGTGCATCTCTATGAGGAAAGTTTAGTGCCTCCATGCAGAGGGTGGAGACACTGTGCAGCACTGCCTCAGGAAGCACCTCTAGTAGCCATCCAAGGAGTAGCCAATGGAGGTATCCTTAAGCTGTAATGTAAACACTAAAACAAACAATAAAGTGTGCTGTGCCTTTAAGACCAAAATATTAACAACACAAAGATATTAATATAACCATTTTAGTCACTCTTTGTATACTAAAGTGCATATATTATAAGTGTGCAATAAGACTGTGTTAAACACAAAATTTTAAAGTGAACCGTGCAGAAAAAAAACTCTCTTACAGTGACAACATTAAGTGCTACTATAGTTGTGCACCTACACAATACTCACATATAATATTTATGAAGCAGGTATGCTTTTGCACATACCATTTATGCAATAAGCAACGACTTAAGGAGCAGTATTTTCCAGTGATGGTTTATAAATATATACTAGATACAAATTGGAGCTTAAAAGACAGGACGTGAAAATTATAAAATCTGGCAAGACTAAAGATTTATTAGTAAAAAGTTAATAAATTGAGTGAATTAATTTCCTAGCAGTAGTTTGTTGCATTACATATACAACCTAGCTGGTGGGCAAGTCGCAGGTGCTTACAAATTCTTACAGTGGAGTTCTTTTTATTGACATCTAATAATTAATTGTATTTCTAAAACTCTATCGTTTTGCCACCCTTTGCTATCAACATCCATCAAACATAAATTACCTCCTGTCCCAGATCTTCATCAGAAACACATAGTTGAGAAGTCACCCTTCAATAAAGTTACATTCTATAGTGTTAATTGTATCCAGTGGAAATACATTAGAACACTGACTCTTCACCAAGTGTGACACTACATCCGGCGACAGTGAGCTCTCACACTGCCTGCCTGTTGCTCCCTGCTCTGTGTTATGAACACAGTGCACTCCCCTCCCACTCTTTTTTTCATGTTTAAACAAACTTTATTAAGCGGATCCATTCACATACAGTCTACTCTTATGTAGGATTAGAAATCAACATTGTTTTGAAGGGATGCCTTTAGATTTTTGGCAGCATAAACACCATTCAACAACCGGTATTACATTTCTATTGCTTTTCATGAGCAGGTGGAAGTGAGATTTAGGGAAACTGGATCAGCACTCCTGTGTGTTGATTAAAAATGTCATGGGAATTAACATGACACAATGTGTTGCTATTTTGTGGTAAACGTTTGGGGACAGTTCATTAAGAGTTGTACGGTACTGAATCAAAATTTGAAATGAACATTCAGGCTAAAATAGCTGCTCTTGAAAAATTTTCGAACCCAATTACAGTCACTGTTTGGCTATTTTAGCCTCAGTTTTCTTGTCATTTTGATTTTGTAAATTTTTGAATGTTTTAATTATTAGAAATGCTAACAGTTCAGCTATTTTTGCTTAATTTACAAATTCTTGTGTAAGTAATCTCCAATTCTAGATCAACATGGTTATTTACCATAGTGAAAAATTGAAAAATGTGTATTTCAAAGTTAAATAAACACTCCGGGAACCATAACAACTTTATTGAAATTAAGTTGTAATGGTGCCAGGAAGTCTCTGGCACTGGCTCACAATGGGGTTAAACCAGTGGTTTCCAAACCAGTCGTCCAGGCATGTTTACTAGTCCAGGATTTAGGGATTACCCAGTTGTGTCAAGTTGTGTTTTATTCTTTATAAAACCACCTTAGACACAACTAGGTAATCCCTAAATGCTGGACTGGTAGGCGTTCCATAAGGACTGTTTTGAAAACCACTGGGTTAAACTGTTCACAAACGATTTAACCCCAAAGTCTGTTTTCAAGCGCCACATCTCTCTGATCCCTGACCTTCCATTTGCTGAAAAAAATTAAAAATGGAAGAATATGGCTGCTGCTGGCAGATGCACTGCTGATTGGCTGACAGTGGGCAGCTGATGCTCTCAGTCAATCCATGGCTCCCCATTCACAAAATGGTGTGAGAAACGTCCACATTTTTCTCAAGACGTTTTTAATCCCTAAAGGTAAGGCCGTGCCAGAAACCTATCAAAATGAATTTGTTAGGGTGGCTAAACATTTAATTTAAGGTCAAGATAGCAGAACTGGAATCAATCAATCTGTCCAGGATTTACCAGTGAAATCTTGTTTATTGAATATTATGCCAAAGATGAACCCACGAATATCAATTTAATTGAGAGTAGATAAAAATGAATCTAATTTTTTCCTACCAGCTGAAAAACATTAATATACAAGTCTAAACTTCAAAACACCAATTTAATGTTCCATCACATTTTTTTTCCATTAGGGTATATCTAAAAAAAAGGCTGCCCTTACAAGACCTCCTAGCCCAGACTTCTCTGGCATTCCCACTCAGCTATGCAAGAAAGGTGCACTTGGCAATAACCAACATCTTGAGTTTAGCTCCACTGAGCTAAAAAAAAACAGAAAGTAACGGGACCGGTGTTTTTTGTTTTTTTCCAATCTTTATTTTTGTTATGCATGGGAATACAAGATATTGCCACAACAACAACAACAGCATGCGTTCCAAGAGAAGTCATAATATAACATTAGCATTGCATAGATTATAGAAGGAATCAGTATAATTGTATGGAAAATAATAGGTGAAATAGCAACAACTTATGCATACTTATCTAGAACAGCAGGCTTATGCTAGGGCCAGACATAGGCAACCTTCGGCACTGCAGATGTTTTGGACTACACCTCCCTTGATGCTTTGCCAGCATTATGGGTGTAAAAGCATTATGGGGGATGTAGTCCACAACATCTGGAGTGCCGAAGGTTGCCTACCCCTGTAGACTATCTTCATATAACATGCTTGAGACATGGATAATGCTTAAGCTATGTATATATGTATATGTGCTGAGCAGCATTGTGGTTTTTTTCCCTTTCCTTCCTTTTCTTTTTCTTCCCTTTAGGCAATTTTTATTTAGGTTTTTCAGTAGTTAACAATAATTTAGGAGGTAATATAGGCAAGTTGCAGGAGCAATTGTATATCAAAGAGATTTCTAACAAGGTACTGTAAGAACAAATAGGTAAAGTGATGAAGTGTTCTGGTTGACATTTCAGTTAGCTGCAAGAAAATATTCATATATACATTTTTGTGGGGAGGTTTGGGCATCTGTGTTGTCTATGAACACCCGTCGTCTTGTGTGTGATCAGTCTTACAAATGATTAGCTATGTTGAGGAGCAGTCAGGTCGGGCATACCTTCAAAGTTGGTGGCGAAACCACTTTCAACCCCGCTCACCTACATTTCTGGCCTGATGGGACCTACCCACTGTTGGGGGGAGAGGGGAAAGGTGCATATAGATGGGGAAAAAAAGGGGGAAAAAACGTGTGTGCGGGGGAGCAGTAAGAGAGAAAGGGTATAGACGATGTCAGTATTGTTCATGTTTCAGACAGTAACAGGATCTGTTGTCTGACTGACTGACAGCCAGGTGGGCTTAACAAAGTTACTTTAGGAAAGTGCCAATTTCTATTGAAACCTGCACTTTTTGTAAAAAAAAAAAAATAGGACACACTCTTTATAAAGAATTTCAGTAAGCAAAGTACTCTAGAGGTCTGGAATGTCCCTTTAAAAAAAAATGAAACCTACTCAAAACTTTGATAAAATAAAAGGACAACCCATAGTGACCTTTTAGTTATATATTAAGTTTAGCAAAAATCTATTGACAGATCTGCTTTAAAATGTTATCTGTATCAATTACTCAAAAAGGACATGCTTTAAATGACATTACTGCAAGCAGCATCCTCTGCCAGCCGGCACAAAGCATGTTGCCAACCAGTACCGGAAGTCGCTGATAACTGTGTCGGAAATGACGTCAGGCTTCCTTTTCCGCTCGCCGTAACCTGTCCTCCGAAGCGTTTTACTGTGCGATGGAAATGGCCGCCGCGGACACGGAGCTGCGCGACACAGAGTAAGCGGGATTGGCAGGGCCCGGGAGCGGCTTTGACGGTCTGGGTGGTGGCGGCGTGGCAGTACGGGGCACGGCGGATGGCACAGTGCCAGACTAGAGCAGCCTGGGCTCCCGTTAGGCTGCGAAGGCCGCAGGCCCCCCTGGGTGCCATAGGGTGCCACACACGGGGCAATGCAGGGCCAGGCTGGGCTCGGCTCCCGCTCGCCCTGGCTGTAGCCGCCATGCTGTGCCCCTCATTAGCAGCCAAGCTGGCGAATGGCCCCTGCTGCCCAAACCACGGAGGGAGCTGGCGATTAGCTACAAGGAACCCATAAGGGGCCGAAACATTGCCGCATGGTGCTGATTACACATGCAGGAGAGGTGTGGCAGGGCGGGACTTGCTCTTTGTTGTTGTTTTTAAAAAAAAACAAAACTTTTTTTTTGTAGCGGCTATTGTACTTTATCTGCCTCCTATATGTCCAGGAAAACAGGTTTGGAAGTTAGGCAGCGTGGACTGTTATTCCCAGCTGGGGAGCAACATGCTTGATTTATAACTACTGTGCTACCTACAGTGTACACAGCTGCCAACATTGAAATAAGTTTTAATCAATCAGATACTGCTTGTTCTTGTGTAAATATAATGCAGTGTAGTAGCTTATATGTGTATATCAAATGAAAACGTGTTTTGGCATTTTATTAAAGAGTATGGTTGTTTATAAACCGTAAACCTTAGTTGTGAACCTTTCTCAGCCGAGTACCACAAATAGCGGGCGAATTATGCTGCATAGTATTCCAAAACAACTGTATTAAAGGGATGCTATAAGCACCCAGACCACTTTAACTCATTGAAGTGGTCTGGGTGTAGTGTTCCTGTCGCGCTTAGTCCTGCAGTGCAAGTCAGTCGGTATTTACAGGCACTTCCAAGATTTGAACGGATTCCAGGTCGTCTAAATCACGCCGAACGTCCTCCCAATATGCATGAGGACATCGAGCACCTAAGAAATTCCCATAGGAATACATTGATTCAATGCTTTCCTAAGGGGATGGCCTAATATGTTTGTCGCACTTGTGCATTAGGTTCCCCTGTCAAGTGATGGAGGAGGCGGAGAGTCGACCCAGTGCAGAGGGAGATCAGCGCTGTATTGGGTAAGCGATTAAAGGTTTTTTTTTGTTGTTGTTGTTTTTTAACCCTTTCTGGGACGGGGGAGGGAGGCTACCAGGTGGCATTTAAGCGTTAAGAATACAGATTTCTATTCCTAACACTATAGAATCCTTTCAAAGCAGAGCTCTGACACTATTTAGAATGTCATAAAGATTTAATCTTTATTAAATACCGACCAGGTTGGAATCCACAGATACCATGTACTACTACTTTGTCCTATGTACATGCTTAAGGTTGGGGGAAAAAGTAAGTCACAGTCACAAATGATGGCATTGGAATTCAAGGGTTGTCTCACTCATCTTGAGACGTTTTACAGAGTCCTCCATAGACCTCTGTGTTGTACTCTTGTTTGTGCGCAAGATTATAGTACTGACACGGTTCTTGGCAGATGAAGCACCAGGAGCTAAGAAGGCTCTACAGGATGAAAAAAAGCAGTGCCTGGAAGGGATCACTTTAGCTAAGTAAACTTATCTTATGCTGAACCCCACTGCCTCTGGATCTTTACCGGAGTTGTCACTTTGTGACAGATCCACAGTAATAGTGTGCTGATGAATTGACTGACAGGTGGAGAAAAAAACAACCTATATTTAAATTGATCTTTCTCCTAATCTATAAATTTGCTAGCACAATGTAAATACAGAATTTTATGTCCTTTCATAAAGCATGTTATAGGAGGTATGATAGTTAAATACCCTGTAAAAAGTACTCATTTATTTGGTTTCAAAGAGTTACATATCCTGTACACAACTTTGCAAGAGATCTGGAGAAACAAAACTGTCAATGACCAATTTTAGTTATTTTTAATCATTACTTTGTTAATGTTAGTGCTACTTAAAGGGATACTATAGTCACCCAGACCACTTCAGCTCAATGAAGTGGTCTGGGTGCCACGTCCCTCAGGTTTTAACCATTCACATGTAAACATAACAGTTTCCGAGAAACTGCTATCTTTACATTTTGGGTTAATCCACCCTCTAGTGGCTGTCTTCCATCCCTTTGTCCCAGCCTGAACCAGAATCGGGCAAAAGCTGCATCTATGCGCTGTTGGATGTCGCTGTGATCCTCCATCTCAGGTAAGCGTTTTGGTTCATGTGGTATGCTTGCCGCCGCCATTTTGGGTACGCCATGTGTTTGGCTGCCCTGGTGTCGCAGTTTATCGATTGGTATGGTTTGCTTGTGGTTGCAATTCCAGTTGCTTGGTTTGGATACAAAGTCCCCCAGGTGGGGGGAGGGGAGGTAGGAGATGATCCTTGTCCAGGTCAGTCAGCCTGGGGAGCGGCCGTCTGCCTGATCTCCGGTAGGCCTCAGGGCATTTTGTTGGGTTTCCGGGGGGTTACAGGCTTGTGTTCGGTATCAGGTGATATCTCTGGGTGTCCCCTTCATGCTAGTGTCTGTCCAGTGTGCGATTGTGTCGGTTTTTGGGGGGATTATCCCGGAAAAGTGCAGAGTGTAGCAGGAGCTGAGGTTCAGCACGACCGCTCTGTCTGGGTGCTAGGCTCCGCCCCCCCATTATTTAACAGAGTTAATAGTACGTTTGTTATATACAGTATCTCACAAAAGTGAGTACACCCCTCACATTTTGTAAATGTTTTTTATTATATATTTTCATGTGACAACACTGCTACAATGTAAAGTAGTGTACAGCCTGTATAACAGTGTAAATTTGCTGTCCCCTCAAAATAACTCCGCACACAGTCATTAATGTGTAAACCTTTGGCAACAAAAGTGAGTACACCCCAAGTGGAAATGTCCAAATTAGGCCCAATTAGCCATTTTCATCCCCGGTGTCATGTGACTCGTTAGTGTTACAAGGTCTCAGGTGTGTTAAATCTGGTGTTATCACTCCCACACTCTCATACTGGTCACTGGAAGTTCAACATGGCAGCTCATATCAAAGAACTCTAAGGATCTGGAAAAAAATAAATGTTGCTCTACAGATGGCCTAGGCCAAGCATGTCAAACTCAAAGTCTGGCACGTGTCACATAAACAAGGTTAAAGTTTATGTGGGCTGCAAAAAAAAACCCAAACCTTAAATCTTCATAGAAACGTAGGTTTATTTTAAAAAGTACAATATAACCTTCCCCCCCCCGTGTGCCCCCCTCTACTAAACCACAGCATCCCCCTCTACCACCCTTTGCCAAATCTGATCTGACACAGACTCACTGACATACAGACACACAAACAGACTCATTGACACGCACACAGACACACACACACTAAAGGTCTTAAATTCAACGATGTAAAATCATGTTGCTTACATATGTAGCACAGAATGTCCCACACTATTTTTCTTTCTCAATGTGTTATTACCTACTGATTTTAGAATACATAAAACAATATAATCGGGCCTGTGACATTTGTGAGATTTATCAAGAGAATAGTTGGATTGTGAGATTATGAAAGTGCAAATACCTGGCAGAATGATTTTTTTTTTTTGTGCTGTCAATTCATCAGATTCACTGTGATACTGACCCCAAAACTTAAATAAAATACCACTCTCACTGACACAGACAGACAGACACACTCTCACTGACACTTACACATTCTTGCACTCACATCATTTAATTTATTTTCCCTACCATTAGGAGCTGGTGTGGGGAACTTCAGTCTGGAGATCTCCTTCCTGCTCCTCACTGCTCCCTCGTGCAGTTTAGTGATGCTGGGTGCTGGAATATGATGTCATATTCCGGCGCCCGGCTTCACTTAAGACAGTGAGTGCGAGGGAGCACTGAGGAGCAGGAAGGCTGAGCTCCCTTGCTGCTTCCACTGTCACTTCCTCCCCGGCCGGGTCGATATGAGCAGAGTAGGCACCTGCAATGTGGGGAAAGCAGGTGCCCATTCTGCTATAATATCAGCATGTACTTGCGGCTCACCTGGCCAAAGAAGTTGAGTGCATGTGCTCAGCGTCATATCCAGAGGTTGTCTTTGGGAAATAGACGTATGAGTGCTGACAGCATTGTTGCAGAGGATGAAGGGGAGGGGTCAGTGCTTAGTCCATACACCGCACACTGCATCAAATTGGTCTGCATGGCTGTCGTCCCAAAAAGAAGCCTCTTCTAAAGATGATGCACAAGAAAGCCCCGAAACAGTTTGCTGAAGACAAGCAGACTAAGGGCATGGATTACTGGAACCATGTCCTGTGGTCCGATGAGACCAAGATAAACTTATTTGGTTCAGATGGTGTCAATTGTGTGTGGCGGCAACCAGGTGAGGAGTACAAAGACAAGTGTGTCTTGGCTACAGTCAAGCATGGTGGTGAGTGTCATGGTCTGGGCCTGCATGAGTGCGGCCGGCACTGGGGAGCTACAGTTAATTGAGGGAACCATGAATGCCAACATGTACTGTGACATACTGAAGCAGAGCATGATCCCCTCCCTTTGCAGACTGGGCCACAGGGACCCCAAACACACCTTCAAGACTACAACTGCCTTGCTAAAGAAGGTAAAGGTGGTGGACTGCTAAACATATATCCAGACCTAAACCCTATTGGGCGTATATGGGGCATCCTCAAATGGAAGGTGAAGGGAGCACAACGTCTCTATCATCCACGAGCTTTGTGATGTCATCATGGAGGAGTGGAAGAGGACTCCAGTGGCAACCTGTGAAGCTCTGAACTCATGCCCATGAGGGTTAAGGCAGTGCTGGAAAACAATGGTGGCCACACAAAATATTGACACTTTGGGCCCAATTTGGACATTTCCACTTAGGTGTGTACTTTTGTTTCCAACGGTTTAGACATTAATGGCTGTGTGTTGTTATTTTGAGGGGACAGCAAATTTACACTGTAATACAGGCTGTACACTTACTACCTTACATTGTAGCATAGTGTAATTTCTTAAGTGTTGTCAAAGGAAAAGATATAAAAATACTTACAAAAATATGAGGGGTGTACTCACTTTTGTGAGATACTGTACTTGAAGGGACACTGTAGGCACTGTAACAACTTCATCTTATTAAAGTTGTTAAAGTGCCTTTAGTCCTGCCCCCTGAGTGCTACACCCAAAAACTCTTTAATAATTAAAATGCTTGGAAGCATGGCTTCAAACCCTCTGATTATGAGATCCTGGTTGTTATTTCCCGAGTCTGGATGTCGTACTAGCTTTGGACGTCGTACTAGCAGTGCCAGAATCATAGGTGCATTATGGAGAGCCCCACGTGTGTACAGACACTAGTGCTAGTTTATGAGGATCTTTGAATTGAAACAACATCCCGGAGGCGGCACTCCAAGATAACATCAGACAAGGAGGAGTCGCGACAGCGCAGAGGAAGACTCTGCACTGGAGTGAATGTAAGCTAATTTTTTTTTAAATTTTTTTATACTAAGTGGGCACATCAAGACTGTAGTGTTGGGAATACAGATATGCATTTCTAATGCTACAGTTATCCTTTAAAGTCTGTATTCCTAATGTTTTTCAGGTCCTCTGTCCCAACCTTCTGAGTGCATTCAATTAAAATGCACCCAGTTATAGCACAGAGGCACTCTGGGTGCTGCTCACCTCTCCACATTCTGCAATTTCACAAAGTAGGCATGACCTCCTCTGCAGATGAATGCACTCGTAGATGAATGCATTCAAACTTTACCATAGGAAATCATTAAATGTGTGCTCTACTATGGGTGTAACTGTCATACAAAAAAAAAAAAAAAAAAAAGTTTTACATTGGAAGGTTTAAAAGGACAGGGACACTACATTGAAAAGCACATAATATACAATGTTGGCACTTTTGGATCGTCTATTTCTAGCCTTTTTTTTTTCTACACATGTAAAATATTTTTTGTGTTTGCAGAAAAATGTCATAAAAGGTTAGCTTTGATTTGTAGTGATATTGGTAACATAGTAACGTGAGTGAGAGTAGCCGATTGGAGTTTCTTCATCTATTATGTGTGCTTCATTCAATATTTTGCTTTTGCTGTCACCCAAAACAGAAGAGGTGTATCAAAATGTTTTTGCTAGCCTGTTTTAGAAAGATTCTTTGGATGTAAAATAGGAACCTTCAGTGTCTATTAAGCGAGGCAGTGTGGTTAACTAATGTTAAGTCTATGGGTGCGGCTTTTGAAATAACTATGCTGAGAATGTCTGTGGAAAGGGTGAAGAATAGCAAGGTGTAAAAGTAATCAATTGTGATAGAAATGTTGTGCTATAGCAGTGTTAAGACACTATAGTTACCAAAACAGCTTCAGCTGAACCCCTTAAAGGGACACTATAGTCAACCAGACCACTTCAGCTCAATGAAGTGGTCTGTGTGCCAGGTCCCTCAGGTTTTAACCCTTCACATGTAAACATAGCAGTTTCAGAGAAACTATGTTTACATAACAGGGTTAATCCAACCTCTAGTGGCTGTCTTCCTGACAGCCGCTAGAGGCACTTCTGCGTCCATAGATGTCCATATCTATGGACTGTTAGAATGTGTGGCCCTTGCCGCGCATTCAGCTCCACTCGGGAGCTGATGTCGGTGGGGGAGAACAGGTCACCAGCGTCGAGGGAGCCCGGCGCTGGATTAAGTTAAGCTGCTGAAGGGGTTTTAACATAGTGTCAGGAAAACGGGTTTGTTTTCCTAATTCTATAGTGATCCTTTAAGGATGGCGGACGTGCTATGCCGTCCTTGGGGACCCAGCTCTAAATGCCACAGGCGGCATAGCATATCCCCGCCGTCCAGGGGACTTACCTGGCATTCCAGGGGGTCCCCCTGTTGCCGATCCGGCCTTCCTGGGCCATGTAATTGCGAGGACCTCACTATCACATGGACGGAATAGCCGTCCATAGCAGTGCCTGGAATGACAGGTAGTCTCCCTGCTGCCTGTAATAAAGTAAAAAGACTGGACATACCCCATTTGCAATACCTTGGGTTGTCTACTATTGCAAATGGTATGCCATCATGAGGTAATTCTCATTCCTGGGCTTCCATATTGTCTCAAAGGCAATGTAATAAATCTGGCGAATTTTAGTGTGAAAAAAAAGGGACATGCTATATTTGACCCTATAACTTCCCAAAACACCATAAAGTCTGTACATATGGGGTATTTACTGTTTTTCCCGTGAGACATCGCTGAATACAAATATGTGTATTTTATTGCAGTAAAAGCAAAAACAGTATTATGATGTTCACAGTTGAACTAAAAAAAAACAAACAAAATTTCTCAATTTTAAAAAATATTTTATTCATATTAAATTGTTTCATAGCTAAATATTTGATGTTAAATGAAAGCCCTTTTTCCCCTGAATAAAATGATATATACGTAGTGGCGGTGCACTTAATATGAAAGAGGTGAATTACGGTTGAACAGACATATAGTCAAATTCCAGGTTTTGTTTATGTTTTGTTTTGATCAAACATTTGGCTCAGTCCTTAAGGGATTAATGAAACCGTTTTTTTTGTGTGTATAGATCATGCCGCTGAAGTCGAAGTGCTCAATTCTCTGCCATTTTGGAGTTGAATCACTTTTGTTTCTAATTTTGCAGTGCTAACCACACCCTGGCTGTGGCTAACACTGTCTTCGTGGGAAAAATTTTTAAATTTTCAGTCAGAAGTTAACCTGCTTTAGAAATTCTTCTCTTGCTCTGTAAATTGAACTTTAATAACACACAGGAGGCTTCTGTAAGGTTTGGCAAGCTATTAACAGCGCAGCAGATAAGAAATTCTAAACAAAACTTTCAATAAAGGAAGTGAAGACATTAAATCTCACTTTACATGAAGTGTTTAGTTAGGCTGTGCAAGTCACATGCAGAGTGGTGTGACTAGACCTACATAAACAAAGCAATTTAGCTCCTAAATGACAGAGAACGTAGTAATGAGACTGCAGGGGGCATGATCTATACACCAAAACTACTTAAGTAAGTTGTTTTGGTAACTATAGTGTCCCTTTAAGAAGTCATTAGTGGTATGTTTACATTTACCAAACAAAACAGTTTAGTGCTCAGAGCAGGAAAAGGCAACCTTTGGCACTCCAGGTATTATGAACTATATCTTCTATAATGCTTTTGCAGGCATAATGCTGGCAAAGCATCAGGGGAGATTTTGTTAAGGACATCTGGAGTACTTAAGGTTGCCTAGAGTATCATCAATTAAACAAGTTACTAAGTATGCATGGAGTACAATATAATATGTGTATTTTATTGCAGAATGGATGATGGAGATATGTCAGAAAGAAGTGTTATTGAAGAAAATGGAGAACTTTCTGAAGATGAACAACCCCAGAATAAGCACAGTAAACACAAAAAGAAGAAACACAAACACCGGAGCAAGCACAAAAAGCATAAGCATTTACCTGAAGCAGAGAAGGAGAAAGACAAAAAACACAAGCATAAACACAAACATAAGAAGCACAAAAGGAAAGATGGTGTAGATATTAACAAAGATGACCTTTCACCATCAAAGAGAACAAAACTTGATGACTTTGCTCTGCTGGAAGACTTGGAGAAACAGAGAGCTATGATTAAAGCAGAGCTTGACAATGAATTAATGGAAGGTAAAGTCCATTCCGGCATGGGATTAATATTACAGGGTTATAACTCTGGTTCTGAGGAGGAGGGAGAGATTAATGAAAAAATTCGCAATGGGAAAAGAATATCTTCCAAGTCAAATGCTAAGGGAAAACAAGATGACTTAAAAAACACTTCTAAAAGAAGGAGCAAAAGTAAGTCCAAAGAGAAGACAAAACACAAATCAGAGAAAAAAAAGCCAAAAAACAATTCTGAAACTGTTAAAGAAAAAGTACCGCAAAGCAAGTCAAAAGAAAGAAGGAAATCCAAAAGTCCAGTCAGAAGAAACAGATCACAAGACCAACTTAAAAGATCACCAGCCTTGCGACGACAATCTCCAGAAAAAAATATTAAATCAAAATCTCCCTCAAATGAAAGGTTAAAAACAAGGGACAGGAAAAAATCACCAGTGGTCAGTGAAATCAGAGGTAGAGACCGTAGTAGGAAGTCTAAATCTCCAATAATAATTGACAGAAGCAAATCCAAAGAAAGACGGTCTAAGTCAAAAGAAAAGAAAACCAGGAGGTCTGATGGGGAAAGAGATAAGAAACCTCTTAAATCTCCCTCCAAAGATGCTTCTTCTGGGAAAGAAAACCGTTCCCCAGTTCGACGGCTAGTACGCAGCCCAAAAGCAAGAAGCTTATCTCCTAAACAACGTGATAGGACTTTGCGACATAGCAGATCTCCACATGATCGGAAGGCTAAAACTCCACCTCGGGCCCAATCTCCTTCTCGGAGAGCAAAAAGCAAATCAGTGGAACGTAAAAGAAGAGAACCAGAGAGAAGAAGATTATCGTCTCCCAGGTAATGTACTTTACAATTCGAAATTATTAAAAGTTGTATTGTTTATATTATGCCAAATAGTTATTGTGTAAAAAAAAAAAAAAAAAAAGTCATTGTTCTGTTTTTTTGTTTGTATTTAATATATGTATTTCAAATATTAAGTCAGTTTCTTGTAGGATAGATACTACATAACATTTGTGTAAAATGTACAAAACAAAAATAGGGGAAAACGCTGTCTGTACCTAAAAAGAAATTAACAATTCATAGTGTAAAACTGCATTAGGCATCTATAGTGACGCGCAATTAGATGCACTCACAAAGTGTAGATAATCAAAGTACCCCATATCTTTTAGGGGGGTGTGGTTTGGATCTCTGAATTCAGGAACCAGGAAAGAGCAGGAAACGAAGTATAAAAATAAAAAATATATTTATTGATAAAAAAAAAAGCCACGTGGACCAGTGGCTTTTTTTTTCATCAATAAATATATTTTTTATTTTTATACTTGGTTTCCTGCTCTTTCCTGGCTCCTGAGTTCGGAGATCCAAACCATACCCCCCTAAAGGATTAGGAGTGGCACTCTTAAGGCACTTTGATTATCTACACTTTGTGAGTGCATCTAATAGCGTGTCACTATACATGCCTAATGCAGTTTTACACTATGAATTTTTAATTTCTTTTTAGGTACAGACAGCGTTTTCCCCTATTTTTTTGTATATTTGCTAATCCAGGCATCCACGTGGGAAGGTTGCCAAGGGAAGCTGTCATCAAGTTAAGTTATATTATTATTTTTATATCTTTTTTTGTATTTGGTGTTTTTGGTACCACATTTGTGTAAAATGGTCAAGCTGTTAACTGTTTCTTACCTTTTCATAATGTTGGGTTACAATTGCATGCATCATCACCACTGTTGATGTCATATCTATTCTAAATCATTTTATTGGGTTCAATAATAGAAACTGCAGTCTTCAAGGAGAAGCAAAACTACGGTAATGTTTTTTTTTTTTGTTAGAAACACTTGAGTACTCCTTGAGAGTAGGATGTGAAACCGTTAACTTATGAGCAATAACAGGATCTTTTTTTATTTATTTTTTTATTTTAGAGCATTACCTAGTCCATGAGACTAAATATATTTGCATGAAAACTCCAAACATGGCAAAATGTGTGTATATATATATATGTGTGTGTGTGTGTGTGTGTGTGTGTGTGTGTATATAATATGAAATCCCTGCACTCAGACTCAAAAAGATTACATACCGGGTGCTTGTAGTCCTAGGGAAAAATCAGATATCCACATAACAGGTGACCAGCACTCACGGATTCATGAAAAGGTTAAAACATCCAAAGTTTAATGAAAAATAAAAGAGACAGCTCAACGTTTCAGTCCTCCTCCGGGACTTTCATCAGGAACAAATGTTTTTGTTCCTGATGAAAGTCCCGGAGGAGGACTAAAATGTCGAGCTGTCTTTTTTATTTTTCATTAAACTTTGGATGTTTTAACCTTTTCATGAATCCGTGAGTGCTGGTCACCTGTTATGTGGAGATATATTTATTTTTTATCCAAGGGTGCATCACCTTGGATATTGGAGCCTAGGTGATGCACCCGGTACTTACCGACCAGGTTCCATTCCTACGACCTGGTTGTAGAACGAATTGGTCGGTAAGTGAGGAGTTAAGGGATTCCCTGTTCGAGGTCGTTTCCCCGAACATAGACATGCGCACCAGAGCAGGGAATCCCTCAAATCTATGTTGGGGGTAATTTCCCTGAACATAGATTAGAGGAATTCTTTGCTATTCTGCGTTCGTCTATGTTCGGGGAAGTTTCCCCGAACATAGACGAACCCCCCAGAGCAGGGAATCCTCGCGATGGCTCGCACTTACTCCTGGTGGTAAGTGCGAGCAGTCGTAAAATAGGTATGTTGCAAAACGAGGACCACCTGTATGTGTAGGTATGTATATATATATATATGTGTGTGTGTGTGTGTGTGTGTGTGTGTGTGTGTATGTGTATATATATATATATATATATATATGTATATTTTATTATTATTATTATTATTATAATATATATATATATATATATATATATATATATTAATTTTTTTTATTTTTTTTTATTTATTTTTTTATAAATAATACATTTCTTATCTTGGTTACGTAAATGTGCACTCCGACGTTAAAAATCGATATTTGGTTTAAAGATTTCCTACATTAGTTGCCAGGAGGTGTAAGAAGTTCACTTACATTTATTGCAGGGTCAAGTAATCTCCTGATGCTGATTTGCTCCTGGAGACTGTCATTGATTATACCTCCCCATAGGAAAGCATTAATTCAATGCTTTCCAATGGTGAAAAATATGACGCTCATGCAGAACGTGAGGACGTCCAGCGTCAGATACCGGACAAAAGATCTGTTTCAATTTGGGAAGCCTTCTAGTGGCTGTTTGGTAGACAGCCACTGAGGCAGACAGTGCTGCAATAAAAACATTGCAGTTTCTATGGAACTGCCATGCTTTACATTGCAGTACTAAGTGCAAAAGGAACACTGCACCCAGATTACTTCAATTAGTGGTCTTGGTACCCACAGGGTCCCTTTAACTTGCTTGATTGGAAAAATTATGGCTTGCGCTTGATGTTGTCTTGTATAATTTGTGCAAGCCAAAAGTATATTTATTTTATAATTTGTATAATTTTCTTTTGTAAAGCTATACAAATATATAGAGAATAAGAATATAAAAAAGACCAAGCAATTATAACTACTAATCTGTTAACTATGCAGCAGTAATATATACATGCGCAAAATATTGTCTTATGGAAGTCAAACTGTATATAAAAAATCCAAAAAAAAGCATATCATCACAATTGCCGTTCATATATAGACGAAATTAATATTGCAAAATGCTAATGTAGAAGTACAGACTGTCCTCCTTTACTGACCAGACTCTCTTCTTACGACATAGTCGTAAAACAAATTGGTCGGCAAGTGATGATGCGCTAGCGAGCATGCGGAAGAAAGCAGGCCTACGTTCGGTGGAATTCCTCCGAACATAGCCCAGTTAACTAGCACAGGGAATTCCGCAAAATTATGTTCAGGGAAACTTCCCCGATCATAGATTAGCTCACCAGTGCAGGGAATCGCTGAAATCTATGTTCAGGAAAAATTCCCTCGAACATAGACCTGCTCTCTAACGTGGGGAATCCCTCAAATCGCTGCGCTAAAGAGATGGTCGTAAGTGTGAGCCCTTGTAAAACAGGTAGGTTAAGTGAGGACCAACTCTGTCTAATGGGCCCTTGGTTTGTGTCAAAGTGTTTGAAAATTGTTTGGAGGACGACACCAGGGCTTTCTGGCCCAGAAACCCTACATAGTGCCACTTTTTGATAGGGTCATCCCAGACTGGAAGTGACCCATGTGTTTTTTTTTGTTTTTTTTTTATTCCCACTAATTCTTTAAAAACAAAGTATAGAGAAATAAGATACCTTTTAAAAATTTGTCAGTTCACTTACATATAAGGGAGAGATTCTCCTCCATGAATCAGGAGCCTGTCATTCTGTCCTGTATTAGAAATACACCACCTCGTGTATTACAAATATATTTTTAATTTACATTTTATTGCTTTGAAATACTTTAAATTCTAATTCTTAACCATGCCTATTTTGTTACTGATTATTTTGTTTAGAACCCGCTCTAGAGATGATCCCCTAACAAGATATGATCGAGCAAAAGATCCTAGTCCTCTTCGACGGTCCCCATCCAGGAGGCGACCAAGTAGGTCTCCTATTCGAAGACGATCACGTTCACCGTTAAGGAGAAGTAGATCTCCATGGAGACGAAGTAGATCTCCTTATAGGCGGTAAGCAAGAATATTGTACCAGCTTGTAAGAACATTAATATGAACTTAACCACTATTGGGTTATACACAGAAATATTACAAATGGTGCAAAACAAAATCGCACTTCAGAATAAAGGATCAAAAAACAAAAGTTTGTGCTGGACATTATTTATTTGGAGTACTTGTTCAGGCCTGGGATGGATCCTTTGTCTGTGCATCCTTGTTAGTACGAAGTCTTCATATTTGAGTTATGTACACAGAAATATAACCACTCACAAGTAGTTTTTAACAAAAATAAAACCATATATTCTGACTTAACAAAAAATATTGTTTAATACAAAAAAGTATAGAATTTAAATAAAGTAGGTTATAAAAGTTACCTATAAAACTTATTTGATATTAATAATAATAAGAGTCAGACAGCACCTTTAAAAAAAATTTCCATTTGATTTTTCTTAAAGAGACCGAAATCGAAGAAGCCGCTCTCGTCTTAGAAGGCGGTCTCATTCCCGGGGAGGACGTACTCGGAGAAGGAGAACTAGGAGCAAAGATAAAGAAGATAAATTTAAAGGAAGCCTTTCTGAAGGGATGAAAGTGGAACAAGACTCTTCTGATGAAAAGTATGAAATAGATATTTCAAAAGATGGTTCTTTATAAAGAAAAACTATAGTGCACAACATGTATAAAATGATTAGGTTGGTTTGCAAAGTTTAAGAATTCAATATATGTTCAAGGCCATTATTTTGTTTTTTCTTTAAGGGACAAGCTAAGCATCATGTAGTGGTTATGGAGCAAGGAATCTTCAGGCACTGTCCCACTGTTAAGTGTCAAGCCTTTGAATTGTTTCGTACTTACCTGGTTCCCCTGGACACATGCAGCCCAGTCCCTCTTTACAGTTATCGCTAAAGCAGAAGATCCTGCTTGTGCATAAAATATATAAATTCCATTAATCTTTGAAATTCATTGGCTGCGGGTGTCAGTCATAACTCTGGAAGTGAATTCCATCCAAAGTGTCACTACACTGATATTGTTAAACCTGAAGGGGACATTTTATTTTAGTGATATTTGTGAGAACAAGTCAGACCGCAAGAGCTAAAAACTAAAATGGTTTGCTTCTTAATAGATGGTAACAGGGGTCTATGGGCACCTTAATCACTACAGCGCCATGAATTGAAATTAGTGTTTAGCGTGTCGCTTTAAACATATGTAAAATGCCCACTGCTAATACCTTTGTACCACAGAAACAGATGGGGGAGAAAAGCATAGAGGTTTTTATTTTTTTAGATTTGCCATTTTGACTTGGTCAGTGATCTCAGATAATCGTTGTCACTTCCACTTAGCAATTTCCTTAATTGCCTTTTCTTTTCTGTTATGCAAAAAGGTTTTATTTTTGTTTTTTTTCAGCTGATTAAAACATTATTCTATAATTGTGTATTACACATGGTTTGGTAACATACAGAGGTGGCATCTCCAGTCATAATGCAAACTTGAATATACCATCATTACCACTGTTGTTTTCTGAAACTCCTGACACTGTCTCTTAGCAGACGTTGCATCAAAGTTGTATTTCCAACATATTTTCTGTTTATGCACAAAAATGTGTGAAATCTTTAAAACACCTCCTGTTGGCATGATCCACACCAGATTTATTTTTTTTTGTCCGTAAGCAGCACTTTTTTTTACCATTATTTAAGAAGTTGTCTTTGCTGTCTGTTGTCAAAACATTCCCTGCTTCATTTCCCACAGGGATAGTAAGTACAGTGACTGAATTGCAAAATTCATTCCAAAAGCTTCAAACTTGACTATAATCACAGTACACATTAATATGCCCGCTTGAGAAGGGGTGGACTATAGGTGCCTCGCCCATAGACTTTTTGCAGCATGCACTGAGCTAAATTGGCTATGTTAACAGAACAGTCTGCTTTTAATAAAGAGTTGATATTTACTAAAACAGGCATAATCAATCTGCTTTAAATGCACTTTTCTGCTTCAATCTTCACTATTACTTTTTATATTCCTTAGTCTTGAAGACTTTGATGTTGAGGAAGAAGATGAAGAGGCTCTTATAGAGCAGAGGAGACTGCAGAGGCTAGCAATTGTACAGGTAAAAAAAATGTTTAATCTTTGCTAGAAAATGAATCGATATGTTTGGAAATTGGAAACGGTTTCTAGTGTTCTGACGAGGAATATGTGGATAAAAAGGAAAAAAAACCCTGTCGTATGCATATTCATTGTAATGTTTCATACACATCTGCGAACAGAAAAAAAATCATGTCTATTTTTATTGAAATTCGATATTTTGTCAAAAACGAAACTACAGAAACCTAAATGGAAATGCAAGTTATTTTGTAAAATGACAGACCTGTTTTAAAAACGTTTAATTTCTAAAGCAACGTCTGAAATATCACTTGTTGCTTTAGAAATGAGGCCTTGAAGAATCTACTTGCCATGTTAAGTAACACTGTTGTACTAACTAATTGAATATTCTGACTGTAAAACTATTGGTTTTTAAACCTCAGTAATGCAAACCTAAAGATGGCGTAGTTACTGAACTGGAGGTTCAAAAATCACGTTGCGTTAATAGCAATATAAATGTGTGCTTTCTCATACATATAGGAGAAATTCTTTGTTTGGAAAGGTCATACTTACTGAAGTCCTATTGACATTAATAGAAATGTGATGTACAGTACTGCTGCAAGTACTTACAATGAACTAAGAATCTGCTCTGACAATTTGCGTATTCGAATACCACAATGTTCTTCCTGCTTTCAGCAGTCTTGTTTTCTTTTGTAAAGATATTCTAAAAGAAGAGCTAGTTGCCGTAAAATATTTCCTGTTATATTGTTTGTTTGTTTTTTCTTTCTTGTTACGAATTGTGCATTGGATGCCTGTAGTATTTTTCTGCATATCCATTAGAACAGAGGTTCCCAGCCCAGTCCTCAAGTACCCCCTAATGGTCCAGGATTTAGGGATTACCCTGTTGTGTCTAAAACACCTTAGACACAATGGGGTAATCCCTAAATCCTGGACTGTTATGGGGTACTTGGGGACTGGGTTGGGAACCACTGTATTAGAATATTTGTGAAAGTTCCTGTTCTCTCTCAGAACCTTGCATAGTTGACCATTGTCCACTAACCAAGCTTTAGGCAGTCTTAGCTTTCTTCAGTTGTAGGAAAGTAGAGGAACAGTTATAACAAGCAACTAATTTATCTTTCATGGTCTTTTTGTAAAATACAGAACACATTTTTAGTTCAACTTTTGCTATGTTTGCAGAAATACAAATATCAAAATGAAGACAGCAATATGTCTGTACCTTCCGAGCCCAGCAGTCCTCAAAGCAGTGCACGGAGCCGCTCAGCTTCCCCAGATGACATTCTTGAGCGTGTTGCTGCTGACGTTAAGCAGTATGAGAGGGAGAACTATGACACTTTTGAGGCTTCTGTGAAAGCCAAACATAATCTTATGACAGAACAGAATAATGGTAAGTGTTAAACTTAATGTTATCTAGTGCTTGACAAAGCAGTTTACTTGTCCTTTTTCCTGCTATCATAGTTATTGAGTCTCTAATATTTTGTCCGTTCACAGAGTTCTCATATTCTTTCTGCTTGCTTGCACTCTGTGTCTGTGTGGGTATAGATTTAAAAAAAAAAATGCCATGCATGAAGGCGGGAGGTAATGGGGAATTGACGGAGGGAGGGAGTGGAGATCAAGCTTGCCTGGCAGAGGTGCATCATTGATGACATACTTAATTGTTTTTCTCTTTCTAAAGGTGCTACACAGAAAAAAATAATTGCCCCTGACATGTTCACCGAATCTGATGATATGTTTGCTGCATACTTCGATGTAAGTTGTGTTCCCCGCCTCAATTTTAGTTACCTGTTATGTGCATTGAAAATTATGGGTCATGCATCTCAGTAGTAAAGGCGGTCTCTGACAAACCATTATTTCCTATTTTGTCATGCACCATGCATAGACTTCTGCGTAGTTTTAAACAAAAGTTGCAAAACTTATGTTTTTCTAGTAATAAAGAAAATCAAAATACATTGTACTACATTGTTGTAGTGATTGCCGGCCATTAGTTGCCTAATGCATGCATACAGATACCTGAATACATAGGTAGAGGAGTCTGCTTGTACAAGGGACTGATTGCTCTGTAAACCAAAAATAGCATTCTCGTCACTTTTTAACCTTCAATTATCAGAATTTGTAGCATCACAGACTGAATGGAGACAAGCTGTATCATTATTTAACGTAAGGCCTCCTTCTCAATTATGTATTTTTTTTTTTCCATTCTTTTTTTGTCCCAATTCATTTTTCCATGATTTTAAAATTAAATCAACATCTTTGATATAAGTGATGCACATATGATCAAAATCAACTGAAGATCAGTTTTAGTTACGGAGGAATCTGTCTATGGCTCTGGCTCTCTTTAGTAACCATATTTGATGAGTTAATAGTCTTTGTTAAAGAGTTAGTTCAAATACGTATGGCTGTTTCTTTTTCTCTTGTATACATTCATGCCTTTGATGGAATGTCCTTTTTAACAAGCTATTAATCAAGTTCGAAGATGCTTAACCTTTATGATGGATAGAAGCTGGATTTTTAAGTGAAAGTCTGACTTTTTGATGGTTTCATTTCTACTATTTAAAAAGATATTTAAGTGTTTCAATTGGTCCTCTCCAGAACTAAACAATTGCCTCATTTTCTTTCAGAGTGCTCGTTTTAGAGCTGCTGGCATTGGAAAAGACTTTAAGGAAAATCCTAACTTAAGGGATAACTGGACAGATTCTGAAGGCTACTACCGTAAGCAATTTCCGCAGTTTGTTCCACTATCATTCACTGTTATAATATGCTAACTTTTTATGAAGCACTGTATTGAGTAGACAGACTACAGTGCAAAAAGCACATTTAAACACATATACAAAACAGATTGAAGTCTGTCACTGTTATACTGCATGTAAGCCTAAATCACTAGTGCACAGAAACATACCTGGGCACCACTGCATCCAGACACGTCTCTTCCATTTCCCATGCTTTCTCTTTAATTAGTTTTGTAAGTTATGTTGCACCCCTTACTTTCTACGAACCTGGTCAGACAAGAGTGAATGCCTGTGCACGACTTCCTATGGTGACAGAATATAGGGGATGAGTTGCTGCCAGGCACTCCTTGGACATCTAATTAAAAAAAAAACACTGGGATTCGTGAAAGAAAAATAAAAAGTCTCTGTTTTTAAAATATGCTTTATCAAGCTAGAAAATAAATAAAATGAATTAATCACTACTTGTTTGATCATGAAGTAGTGGAATTTACGTTTTTTTTCTTGTTTTTGGCCCACACAGGTGTAAATATAGGAGAAATTTTGGAGAAGCGATATAATGTGTATGGATACACTGGCCAGGGAGTCTTCAGTAATGTTGTGCGTGCCCGAGATATGGCTCGAGCAAATCAGGAAGTTGCTGTGAAAATAATCAGAAACAATGAGCTAATGTAAGTGTCAATGATATAAATGTTCGTTATTTTTAAGTTGCAAATTTTTTTTATATCCATACTAACATGTCCCTTGACTGGAAACTCTTATTCTAAATTTCTGTTTTGGGGAAAATTGTGTTCCTTTGTGGTAGAGAAAAGGAAGAGAATTGGGATGGGCTGGTGTGAACGAGTGGGAAAAAGTAATTGGAGCGAGTGAGAGCCGCAATGTAAGGGCGAAGAACAATAAGAGCGAGCGCACAGTGGAGTGCAGGAAGATTCATGGAAACTGATAAATTCTCTGAATTTACTTCACTTTAGCTGACTGAGTGCCTTAATATACATAGAATGGCTTTAATTTATATATTTATATCTTAATGCAAACATACATGTGCATTACCAAAGATGCTGATCTGGCTTTTTTTTTTATCCAGCCCTATAAATATGTACATGTTTGTGAAAATTACATCTGACATGTTTAAAGGGAGACTTTAGGAAATTTAAGCATGCGTGTTTTAAATACATTATATGGCTAATATATTAGAAAATGTTAAAACAACCAATTAAAAATACCGTAATAAAAGATAAAAACATGCACTTTTGAAATTGCTGCATCTGCAGTAAATAACCAGTATTTCAATTTTCACCGCATAGATAAGTGATTTGCCAATCACAGTGGTGTAATGCTTTTTTTGTGGAACTTTTCAAGGTACTGACTTTGTCCCATTTATTCCTGCACATCAGGTGTTTATAGGAAGAGCAACAATTTAAGACCTTTTAGTTCAGTTAGCAGGGTTTTTTCCCCCTCATTTTATACAGTCAAATTGAGGATGCAATAATGTTATATTAGTTGTGCCAACAACTATAACATTCATAAACAAGTATTGTTGACTGTATCTGGAGTGACCTTTTAACAACCAGCTGGTGTTGGAGTATTGTTACAAGTCTTGCACAATTTAATTTCTTGTCAAAATGAAGTACATACTTTATAGTGCTGCAGCCACATAATGTGTGGTGTGTTTACACACTTAATTTGACTATTCCAGGGCAAATGAGGTGGAAACCGAATGTATTGTTTTGGCTTCTCTTTCATCAACAGTGATCGATGGTAGTAAAAGGCAATCTTTATAAAGATAATTGAATGTAATCGAAGATGGACACACACTTTTCCAGGAAAGATTTGAATTTCTACATTTTATTTTCATTTTTACAGCTAACAAACATTTCTAAATACAGTGTATAAGTATGCAATATTACAAATTGTAGCATTTATAAAATAACGGTCATTTCCATTTCTTTATATATATTTTTTTATTATTTTTTTTTACAATAGGCAAAAAACAGGCTTGAAAGAATTGGAGTTCCTGAAGAAATTAAATGATGCGGATCCAGATGACAAATTTCATTGCTTGAGATTATTTAGGCATTTCTATCACAAACAGCACTTATGTTTAGTATTTGAACCACTCAGGTGAGATTTTTGTATTTTCCATGTTGCACATATATATGGATTCTTTATCTGAATATATATCTATTGGGTTGGTGTTCCCTTTAGTTGGTTATTCTGCATTATGTTATGGTTATGTGTACATAACAAGTCATTGTTAAAGGGACACTATAGTTACAAGAACAGCTTATTGTAGTTGTTCTGATATCTATAACATGTTCCTGCAGGCTTTTTGTTGTAAACACTGGCTTGCAGTGTCTGCATGGAGACCTTGAACTTTCCCCCACAGAGATGCAATGATTCAATCCATCTCTTTGAAGAGATGCTGATTGACCAAGCTGGCGTTTGGACCCCACCCCGCCTTCTTGAAGATTTCAGTCAATCCAATGCTTTACTATTAGAAAACCTTGTGATTGGCTGAGATCACTTCTGATGTCAGCCAAGGAGGTGGATTGGGGGCAGAGCCAACGCCGGCAGACTGGAATGAAGGTAAGATTTACTATATTTATGGGAGCAAGGGAGAACTAGGCGGGCTAGATAGTAATTTTAACACTGTAGGGTCAGGAGCACATGCTTGTGTTCCTGACCCTATAGTGTTTCTTGAAATTTGGAAGGCCAATATCCCAAGCATACTATAATACTGTTTTGGCTTGTTCAACATACTCTTTGATTACTACTTAGGTTCAGTTTGCAAAATAGAGGTAGTTTAACAAAATAATTTTAAAAAAGGGCAATAAATTTGTATATTAACACATTTGCATATTCAATGAATTTGATGAAAAACTCCCCAACAGATTTCCCACTAAGTTGTTTGTTTGCTTTGGTTTTTTTTTTTTAATTCAGAGGCCCATTGAGAGATAAGCAAATAATAACTTGTGTTTAGAATAATTTAATTGGTCCACTGACAGCAGCCTAATTTGCCAAATGGCAATGTAAAACTAAAATTGTAGTAGGTCAATAGGAGCCTAATAATTAGGAGGGGTGCAGGATTATGGTGGCAGGCAACATGTCTCCAGTGTATCCTCTAATAATTAGAAAGGCAGCACTATGTGCACGCACATATTCTTTCATCTTGTTTTATCCGATGAGCATTAAAGGACCACTATAGTGCAAGGAAAACATACTCTTTTTCCTGGCACTATAGTGCCCTGAGGGTGCCCCCACCCTCAGGGTCCCACTCCCGCCGGGCTCTGGGGAGAGGAAAGGGGTTAAACTTACCTTTTTTCCAGCGCCGGGCGGGGAGCTCTCCACCTCCTCTTCGGCTGAATGCGCATGCGCGGCAAGAGCTGCGCGCGCATTCAGCTGGTCTCATAGGAAAACATTTATAATGCTTTCCTATGGACGCTTGCGTCTTATCACTGTGATTTTTCACAGTGAGAAGCACGCAAACGCCTCTAGCGGCTGTCATTGAGACAGCCATTAGAGGCTTTAGAGGCTGGATTAACCCATTTATAAACATAGCAGTTTCTCTGAAACTGCTATGTTTATAAAAAAAATGGGTTAACCCTAGCTGGACCAGGCACCCAGACCACTTCATTAAGCTGAAGTGGTCTAGGTGCCTAGAGTGGTCCTTTAATTACTGTTGTGGAATAATATAACTCTGGTGATTTCTTGGACTATCTGAATACCAGGAGAGGGGCTTAGACTGTCTCATATATATTCACTTTATGAGGAACAAATTATGGAAAGATGAGGGGGCTGCTTGGACTCTTGCCATGAGCACTGGGGATCTTCCTGTTATACTTTCACATTAGCCAAACTGCAGCAGAGAGGTCAGAAATTAAAGAGACCCTATAGTCACCAGAACAACTACATCTTATGGTAGTTGTTCTGGTGTCTTTAGCCTGTCCCTGCAGGCTTTTTGGTGTAAACACTGCCTTTAAAGAAAAAAAAAAAAAAAGGCAGTGTTTACATTACAGCTTTGGAACTCCTCTACTGGCCACTCAGCTGACCACTAGAGATGCTACCTTGGTCAGTGCTGCACAATGTACAGCACTGACGTTGATACACTGAACTTTCCCCATAGACATGCACTGATTTAATTAATCTCTATGATGAAATGCTGATTGGCTAGGACAGTATTTGGTACCGCCACTGCCCTGCCTCCTTTGCTGAGATTATTAGGATTGACGATCTCAACCAATTCAATGCTTTCCTATTGGAAAACATTGTGATTAACTGAGATTATCAACTCTGGTCAACCAAGGAGGCGGATCGTGGGTGGAGCCAGTGCCGGCAGACTTGCTCAGGAAATAAGATGAGTTTTTACTATATTTTTGGGGGGCCAAATACTGTGAAAATATACGTTTGTGTTCCTGTCCCTATGATGTTCCTGTAAGCACCGCGAGAGACATATTTATTAATCTGTTTTATTGATTTTATGCTGATTAAGGAAACATTTGTGTGTTCTTTCATTTTAATGTCTTCTAATGTTTTACATCAAGATATTGTTTGTAGTGTTACCGACAAGTAGGCTCATGTGCAGTGTTAATCTTGAATGTGTAAAATAACTTTTTTCCCCCCCATTTTTATGGAAAATAAAGTATGAACTTGAGAGAAGTTTTGAAGAAATATGGCAAAGATGTAGGCCTCCACATTAAGGCAGTGCGGTCCTATAGCCAACAGCTCTTTCTGGCATTAAAGCTTCTAAAAAGATGCAACATTCTTCATGCAGATATTAAACCCGATAACATTCTGGTAAGGGATTTCCATCATTCTATGCTATTCTTTTATTTTTTTTATTTTATTTGATTTCTAACTAGATTTTTCCTTGGCACTATGCAGTTTCTTTCCCTTCACTGTATATCCAACCCCAATATATTGCTTCCTAAATCCTGTCCATTTGCATGTTTTCTAGTTATCTTTATTTATTCACTTACCTCTCTTAAGTTCTTTAACTCGATTTATCGCAATGCCCCACTCAATTTAGTTTTCCTAAGTTTATCTTTCATCATATCTATATTCCAGCTTCACTTCCCTCATCGGTTTGCCTTCTTGTGTATCTTGAAAGTAAAATTTACAATGTATCTGGTGTTTTAATAGGAAACAATATTTTCACTTAAATTTTATGCAGCAACTTTTTTTTTTTTTTTTTTTAAATATCTGATATTTTTAAAATAGCAAAAGTTCTTTCAGGACTAAAGTTTTCCTACAATTTCTGTGACCACTGTCCACCCCACTTTGGTAGTGAAAGTTAAGATTACCTTTGAATATGTCCGCATGCCTGCTGATATCCTTTGCGATCTCTTCCAATCCAGTGCTTCTCCTAGAGAAGCAATAGTGGCTGAGATACGCAAGCGGCTGTCAGATGGTAACCGCCACCTAGAGCTGTATTAACCCTTCAATGTAAATTTAGCTGTTTCTACAAAAGATAAAAGTAGAGTAATTTGCGGGTATAATTTAACTTTATTAGCTTGATCATGACATCCTCTAAATCACTGTAAATGAACACAAATAATTTTTTTTTTTTCTTGCTTTGTGTGTTCTCTGATTTGCAGATACTTTTTCTTTTTAGCTTGTCTCTGTATTGGAAGAGTACTAAATTTGAATATTTATATTTGTTTTTTGTTTTTAAGTGGGTTTCAAATGTTTAATTTTAGTTTATTTTTATGAATATATTGAATGTTCACTTCACTAAATATTTACTAGAATATTCCTGTATTTGATCTTTAGTGGATTTGCAGGGATGCAAGATCTTACTAATCTTTATATTCGTTTTTGTTTTTTAAATCAGGTAAATGAATCCAAAACCATTCTGAAACTCTGTGACTTTGGTTCTGCATCCCATGTTGCAGATAATGACATTACACCATATCTTGTCAGTAGATTTTATCGAGCACCTGAAATCAGTAAGTAAAAGTTAATAGTTATTAAAGGCACGTGAATAAGATTAATAATTGTGGATGTTTTTTATGAAAATGTAATGACTGTAAACAACTTTTCACTGTATGTGTACATTGTTAAGAGACCAAAATTTCTTCATCTTAATGAAATTGTCTTGGTGCAGTGACCCTATAATTTTAACCCTGCAACCCAAAACATTGCAGTTTAGTAGGTAAGGCAATGTTATGATTGCAGGGTTAACACACCTCTAGTGGCAATGTTCCTGATAGCCACCAGAAGGAACTTTCCCTGGAAAACGGAGTCAGACTCTGTTATTCAATTATAATAACTCATAGAGAGCATTTGTTTGGTGCAGAGTGGTGTTTTGCTGTCTTCCAATGTTTCCATATGGGGGAAGCATTGGATTGATCTAAACCAGGGAGTCGGGGCTAAAGTAGTGGAGAATGGTGTGTCAAGGGTTATGGGGGGGGGGGGTGTTTTAACATAATATAGCAGTGAGTTAAAAATTTAATTAAATTCATAAAAAACAAAACATTCTCAATAGAAAAGGTAAACCTGAAAAATTAAAAATTCTGCGTTCCCTCATTGTACTTCTAAGTGTTTTCTGAAGTAAGTGGTCCTGCAGAAATATGTAAAAAAAACAAAAATAGATCTTTGTGCCAACTCGGGCATATACATGTAAATTTATGTGCAATTTTATGAATGTGCACTGGCAGCCGGCCACTTATTAAAAACCAAAAAACATTGATTTAGAAAAATAACAGAACAGTTAGCTTACTTTTAATGAACAGTTAGCTCAAGCAAAAATCTTAATAGCAAAAATCATATTTAAAAGGACAATGAGGTCAGATTTAATACTGCCCTTTAAAAAAAATAAAAAAATAAAAAATCTTTTACATGAATAACATACATTTCCCCTCCCCACCCCCCAAAACCAGTAAGGTGTTACAAAAAATTAAGCAATAGAGGCTGATACGCATGCGCGGCCAAATGCCATCTTCCTCCAATCATTGCAGGACTGAGTTTGACTCCATTATTTAGGAGTCATACTCTTACATAGCTAATCTTGCGAGGCACTGCTTGATGTCTTTCTCTTTAATGTTCTTCCTATACAGTCACGTGTCTTTTATTTTCTTTAAATATATTTTATTTTTAAGTATAATTTTTTATTATGGGTATGTCACAGTATACATGAAAACACAAAGACTTGTGTTGATGAGAAAAACAAACGTATAATAGATACAATAACGCATGTACAAACCGTTTAAATATATGGTTAATGTTTTGAATAGGAAGCCATCTTTTCTTTTTTCCCTATATTTCTTGGCTAAAAAGCAGAGCCGGTTCTGCTTTGAAAATAAAATGCAAAATATTTAGCATTAAATCAGACATCACTGAAATCAAATTTGTAAAGGTCAAAATGTGTTCGACTATAAAATATTTTGATTATACTTTTCTTCAAAATCCTTTTAATTTAGTAGTACCTTTGTTTTATGGAATGTGAGTAGAAATTGTGGCTACCTACCTTACTAGTGTTCTTCTTTGCTCAGTCTGCTTTAACTTTTAAACCTGTGATTTATTTTAACAATATGACGCTTTTCTTCCAGTAATTGGAAAAATATATGACTACGGAATAGACATGTGGTCAGTGGGCTGTACCCTATATGAACTTTATACTGGAAAGATCTTGTTCCCTGGCAAAACAAACAACCACATGATAAAATTAGCCATGGACTTAAAAGGAAAGATGCCAAACAAGGTAACGAACTAGCTGATATTGTTTTCCAAATTTTAGAATGTTATTGTACCTTAATGCTTTAAAAAATAAAAATTTGATGACTGTTGTCTTTTAAGATTAAATAAATGTTTTTAGTTTTAATAAAATGTAATGATATATATTTTTAATGAAAATATAGGTAAACGTGGATAAACTTGAAAAATGAGAAGTAAAAATTTGATGGCAGGTGTTTTTTACACTTTGTAAAGCATAGTGAATTTCGAAATATTAGATTTTCTTTTTTTACGTGCATGCTAAAGTTATGAAATTCTAAAAATAGCTCTTTATAAAATGCTATGTGTTATTTGTAAAATACAATTCACTTATAACCCTATTAAACATAATTAAAAAGTAAAATGCTATCATGTGTCTTATAATGGTCCCTAAACTATATTTGTAATGTTTCCAAATGCCAAAATACCAGATTATTGCAATATGTAATGATTACCTTTTTTATTAGACTAGTAGAATATTTCAAAGACAAGCTTTCGAGTCTTCCTTTCTTCCTCAGGTCTGAAGCAAACTCTCGAAAGCTTGTCTTTGAAATATTATATTAGTCCAATGAAAAAAGGTATCATTGCATACTGCAATACTCTGGTATTTTGGCATCTTGTCTACTGGACTAATAATTCTAAACCAATCTACACTAATATATTTCCCTATATTTTCATAGAAAACAGTTACACTGTTGAGCATTGTCCATATTATTGTTTGGAAATATGTATAATGGGTTTTTGACTTTAGTTAATTTAATATCAAACAGCCACAGGATATTAAATGTGTATACAGATTTTTCACAATTTTATTATGCTTTGCAGATGATTAGAAAAGGCGTGTTTAAGGATCAACACTTTGATGCAAATCTAAACTTCATGTACATTGAAGTTGATAAAGTAACAGAAAGGGTATGTTTTCTTTTCACATTATTCAATTACAATGTGTTTTGTTAATGCAAATTGTTTTTTTTTATAAATTCTTTATTTTTGCATTGTGCTTGCGTTTACATACATGCGTACTCTGCCACAACAGCAGGAGTCATAATTTTCAAGCGGTTCAGTTGGTGTAACATTATGGCATTTGAGGTTTGCGCACATTTTTATTTTTAGTATAAGACAAGAGGTAAAAGGGTGTGTGTCAGCAGGAGTGGTGTGTGGGGGGTAACAGTTGTAGTTTTCAAGGTTACAGGGTGCTGTATTACAGGTATTCATGTGGTGTTGTGCCAGGATGTCACCTGTGGGGGGAGCTGGTGGACCGTTGTGTGAAGCTGTTGGTGTATATCGGCCATCTATGGGTTAACGTTTACCTGCGTGCTGTCAAGGGTGTGAAGTGCAGTGACATATGTCGCACAAGGCAATAACAATATGGTAATTATATACATAAGAGCGGAGGAAAAGGAAAAAAAAAATATATATTAAAATTTTTAAGAAGAAACATTCTGAAGGAAAACCATAAGTCTTCCGTGGCTGGAGCAGTCATTTACACCGTCCCGTCTCCAGGGACTTTGTGTGGTTTCTAAGAGTTCTTTCTAGCCGTTGTCATTCAGGTGGCCCGGTTTGTCGGTATCATGTTTCTCGGGGTGAATGGTACAGTGTTGTCTGGATCCCATCTCTGTGCAGGGGTCTCTGCTGTGTCGTTTCTTGCCGATAGACCCATCTTGGTGAGCACCGCAGGTACTTCTGTGGGCGTGGAAACTCTGTGCATGGTCCCATTGTGAGTGATTAGCAGGGATCGAGGTGCACCCCTGCGGAGCGCAGTTGGTTTGTAAAGTGGGACAGTGTTCGGCGCCACTGAAGGGTGGCTCTGGTTAAGTCCTGGAAACATAACAGCTGTGCGTTTTCAAAGGTCAAGGGGGTTTTGTCCCGTACTGCCGACATGATGTTGTTTTTGTCCTGTGTGGTGACACAGCGTAAGATAACATCACTGGGAGTTGTGTTGGGCATAGTATTCGAGGGTGGGAGCCTGTAGAGCCCATCAAGGAGCCTCTTCCTAGCTGTTGCTGGCGGTAGAATGGTGGTCAGAAGCCTTCTCACATAGTGAGGCAGTTCATCAGGTGTGATGTCTGGGGGAATCCCTCGTATTTTAACGTGATTGCGCCGAGCTCGGTCTTCGTGGGTCGACAGTTGTAGGGAGAGTCCCATTTGGGTAGTCTGCATTTGTTGTATTGCTTCTTTTACTTGTGTGATGTCTGTTTGAATGTTCACGATGCTCTCCTCTGTCACCCTTACTCTTTCAGTTACTTTTTGTACTTCCCCTTTAAGCAGGCCCACATCTGTGGCCAGTGTCTCCTTGATGTCTTGCACCCAAGTAAGGAGGTCCTGTTTGGCCAGTGTGTTGTCAGGTGGTGCCTGTGGTGGTGTCAGGGTGTACTCACTGTTATTCTCCGTTTGTGTGGGAGTATGAGATGCAGCACGGGTCGTTGTCTGAGTTTGTTGAACCTCCGTGGCAATCTTGGATTGTGCCTGTCTCTGTAGTAGAGCCCCAATGTCAGGCTGCTCGGCTGGGTGTCCGGACTGTGCTTTTTGCGTACGTCTCCCCATATTCGTTGGGGTATCGTTGTGGGTCGGCAGGGGGTCGCTTGATAGCGTATGCTCACCCCGGCTGTACACCCCGCCTAGGAAGTCCTCGAGCCTGGAGATGGTCGGCGAGGGATAGGCCTTGAGCCTCCGTTTCACCTTGCCAGATCTCTGGTGTTGAAAGAAAGGCATCAATGTGTGCGCTTCGTCGCCCCGATGCCGGTTTCGAGGTGGGTCTGGCAATCGGTCGGTTCCTTTGCAGGATGTTTGCAGATTTGTTTCAGGCTTGTTAGGAGCAGGCAGAGATGGTGTCCGCTCCGTTTCAGGTTCAGGCCACGCCTTGTTTTGTTTTTTTAATCACCTTTAGTGTCTAGTGATACACTAGAGGATATTATTGGTTAGTTATCAATTATAGCCTAAGCATGCAGTAACGATGCCTAACTTTTTGAATTAATATGAACTGTGACATCATTGTGCCGTGTTTTAGATTTCACTTTTTGCTTTCTTTTCTGTCAGTTTCATGTCAGTGCCTCTACAAAGCACCATACTTTGATATTTTTCAGTCTCCTACAAAAATATTTGTCAACTAAATTCCTCCTCCCAATCTTCTCTATCAATGTGATTTACAGTTCTTTTTTGTGTTCGGTCACCAAAGTGGTTTTCACATACTTTGATGTTATTTTATCATATAAGAATATATTCCCATGGTGAAGAAAACTATTTATTTTATTAAGACTCTAAATTTCCACTAGTCTTTGATGAAAGTAAAACGTCTCTTTGATTACCTTTACATCCAGTCACATTACAAGAAGGACAGTGTGTGTTACAGCTCTGTACATTCCCAGAGATCTTGTATTAAATGGAGGTTTGCGGTGTCATTTTACTTGTATGCCTTATTTGTAGCATAGGACTTTAACATTTGAACAATGCTGTATATTTATTTTTCTGTCATCTAGGAGAAAGTTACAGTTATGAGTACTATTAACCCAACAAAGGACCTGTTGGCTGATTTAATTGGATGCCAGCGGCTTCCGGAGGAACAGCGTAAAAAAGTTCACCAACTGAAGGACTTGTTGGATCAAATTCTAATGCTAGATCCAGCTAAACGAATAAGCATCAATCAAGCTCTACAACACCCGTTCATCCAGGAAAAGATCTAAATCTGGTTTGAATAGTTACACATCAGGACTGAAGATACTTTCACAGCAGCTTGTTAATGTATATAAATATATAAATATTTCCCCTGAAAAAAAAACCAATTGAGAGCATGAAATGTTTGAATTAAATTTTTCTTTTTTTTTTTCAAAAAGTTGTCTCACAAACTTTTGTTATCTGTACAATTTCTCCACATTAGAGTGAATGTAAATTGGCACAATTGCATAAAAGAAAATGCAGGAAAAAAAATCCGTACTAATGCAGTTTGATTTGAGAATTATATTTGGGAAAAACACGGATGAAATTTAATAATGCTTGGATGTTAATATTTTATTTTTAGCAGTCATGGCTCATAATTTTTTATTTTTTATTTTTTTTTGTTTGTGTGAGAGAAAACATGACCAGCATAAATGCTGTTTATATTCACGTTTTCCTAGGTTGTGTGCGCAGGCCTCAGCAGCATGCCCTTGGTGTAGTCAGTGCCGAAGGAGGGCCTATTCCTTCTTGAGCCTGCCTGCAGGGATGGTGTCCTCTTTTAAAGCAGGTTGTGTACAACTTTCAGTACACTGAAGGTAAGCTTAAACCATCAACATCACTGGTATTTTAAGATTGTCTGTGTGTTTATATTTTTCTTTTGTCAGCAGACAAATAAGGATTCGATAGCATATTGTGGCATTATCCCACTGCATGTTTTTCAAGTGACCTACTGTTGCATCAGGTTTCTGTTTTGTTTCATCATTTGGACACTGTTTGTTGCAGTTTAATTCCATACTTTCTTTCCATTCCTTGAGTGTGTGCACTTGATGGGAGGAGCGCCTTCAGTGTACTGTTTAATTTTGGTTTTAAGCATATTTTTAATCTACTTGCTTCATATTGAAAAGAGTTCACTGTAACATAGGAATCTGTACTTTCTGAAAAAGTTGCATTTAATGTTCTAGTTGGGGAAAACGTCAAGTTCTTGTGCTTAGAAAAAAATAACATTTTTAAAAATAAATACATCCTTTGTATTGAAAATGTACTTCTGTGTATCACCAGTCAGTACCAGCGGGACTTCCATTGTATAATTATCCGCTATTAAATGTAAATCCTTCTGGTACTGATTGTAGTTTCTATTTTAAATTGTATAATTTGTTCATTGTTTTCATTTCTTGTGATCATGTTGTCTTTCAATACAGGCATTTGTTCTCCACTCTTGAACAAAAGCAGCTGCTTTTTAAAAGCGGTAATTGCTTCTTTACTTTTTTTTTTTATTTGTTTTGTAAATGAAACCTTTTCTTTTAAAAAAATAAATTGTGTTCAAAACATTCTTTCTCATAAACAGTTGAGACTCACTTATTGTAAAGTGAAGATTGTTTTGCTGCATGTACAGTGATCCATGCAGATATCTGTATGTTTTCAATATGCGTTATTAGATAATAAAGTCTTTTTGTGAACAAGGTTTTTGTAGCCATTTCTAAGATTTTGTTTTACTTTTCTTGAGATCTCTGTAAATCTGAAAGAACAAAACCCACTGATAGTACAAACGTTTTTCAGTTTTCCACTGTAATTTAGAAGTTGCTTTGAAGAAATAGATTTTTTTTGTTTGGTTAGCTTTAACAGTTCATCACTAATACATTTTAAAAGTATTCTATTCCCAATATATACATATCCATGCCCACATTCAGAGTAGATTTATTCTTCTTAAAGAATGTGGTGTTAACTAATATTTGTGCTGTTTTCTCACTTTTCCTCTTGATGGTGCTGAAAGAAAAAAGGAAAGAGAAACACAGGCCTCCCAACGGCTGATTTGCTGAGAAACCATCATCACCTTCCTTACAAGGTCATTTCTGACAGCATGTGTAGATAAGCATTTAGAAAAAAAAAAGTGCTATCAAAATGGAATTACCTACTATGGTAGTTTAAAAAAAAAATAATAAAAAATATGACTAATGTTGATCTATTAAAGACAAGACTACATTTTTCTTAAGCACACAGGACACACCACTGGCTAAAATAATTATTTTGGCACATTTATTATTCAATTGGTAAGGGTGGTTGTTAACAGGTTTTATTATTATTTGACAGTTACATGGCAATCAAATTGATTCAGGCTTCTAATTCCTCTTTAAAATGTGCTTTGGAATGATATTTGGCTATAAACATTTTAAGCATATGAACATTTCTGTTCCTTGTTCAGAAATGGAAGATGCATTTTATCTTTCTAAAAATATGTTCTTTGTTACACAAGGACGATTTCCAATATTAATAGTTGCTCGTTAAGTGTTCAATGCTTTTGGGTGGAGGGGAATTGTATCTAATAAGGCAAAAGCTAAAATTAAAGAAAAGAAAGTTTACAAAACAAAAATCCTCTAAAGAATAAAGTTGCTGGTTTACCCATTTCTTTGTGTTTTAGATGGAGCTGGAAGGAGGAAGATGGCATGAAGACATATACCAAGGTTTCTGTTTTAAGCAAGAAATGTTATGTGCTGATACACTCTAGTGGTATCTTAATCTTCTATTAGGTTACTCAGGTCAAGGGCAATTTTCATGTTTGTTTTTTTACATGTATTATGTTCTCTAGATTTGTAGCTCATTCTTTTGTAACTTTTTACTACTTACATTCAGAATTGTTGAACATGTAAACATTATTGGTGCATGTAATAAATCAGCACATGCATATTGTTTTATAGGTCTAAATTTGGAAATACTGTATCAAATCCTCACACACGGTTTTATAACTTTATGCCTATTAAACATACACTTGGCTCTCAGCTACTAGAGCAAGAAATCGGGGAATACAATTTAGTGTTTTTTTTCAGTGGAAATAAAAATAGGTTGCATTAATATTGTTTACTTTGTTTTTGTGCTTAGGGTAAGTTGATGAACTATTTGGATTCCTTTATGATCACCTATCAAGCAAAAACACCGTATCTGTTTAATGTTCTACTGATCCTTTCTGTGATGTTAATACTAATAAAAATACTTAAGTTGTCAACGTAGTGTTCTGTTTTTTATTAATAAAACCAACTGAACTAATTTTTCAGATTTATGGAAATATCAGTGTAGATAAGTAATAGATCAAAACATTTTAACTGTAGGAAGATATCATTTTTGAGGTTAAATAATACTTTTGTAGATTCATTTGAAATTATTTTTCAGAAAGCTAAAGGCTTTGAAATTTAATTCAGCTTTGTAACAAACTTGACATGCTTGCTTTGTGTGACACTACAGGGGTGGTAAATACGCATTTGTAGCATTTTTCAACTCTTGGAGCTTTATCTGCTGAGAGGCGGCACTATAGATGTTACAGCTATATTGCTGGTTTACATAGAACTTCTTGCACAATGGGAATTGACAGAAGTTGACGAAAGGCCTGCTTCAGAAGTTGGCAAAATGTAACCACTTTTGTCATACTTCTGACTTTACCATGTCTTAGATTTAATAAAATTCCTATTTCAGTCAACATAAGTGTACTATAAAGTGTATATAAAATTTTTAATATTATAATGGATAGGGTTTCATATTATTTATAAAATGCCAACAAATTCTGTAGCGCTTTACAATAGGTGGGTTAACAGTACCAGTTGCATGCATAGAAATTGAGGGCTCTCCTCAAACTTTTTTTTTTAATTGGAAAATATTAGGTACTATAGCTGTGTTGTGTGGAATGTTGTAATAACTGTTACTTTTTTCAGTGAGTTACCTTAGTCCTCTTTCTTCAGAATCACTAAAACTGTCACAAAATACAGTTTTTGAGATGCTCAGCAAGATTCGTGAAAAAAACCCAACTCTTCATTAACTGCACAGTTTTGGCCAGATAAGGTCTTAGCAAACAATATTTAGCATGTAAATGTAGGAATCACTGATAAGTCTCAAGCCTCAAATTATGCATCACTTTTCAACGTGTATCCAATTTTACGCTTGCTCCCCAGTACCCCACTACTCCAGGGGTCATCAATGCAGTCTATCTATCACTAGTATTAACGTAAAAAAAAAAAAAAAGGTAGATTATCTATGCAAGCTGTAGTCAATGGAAAAATTCCACTTTCTGAAATAAAACCAATTCTGAAGTATGTGCAAAACAGTTGGCAAACAAAATTATTTTACAGTTTATTTACTTTTATATACCTATACATGGGAAGTAAAGTGGATTTTTTTGATGGAGTGGTCTGGGTGACTATAGTGGTCCTTTAACCCCATTGATGGCAATATGGGTCAATTTGCCGTCTTCTTTTAATTCCAACACAAAATGTATAGATATAGTTATAGCTACTGCTTGGAAATCAACATTACACACATGGAACCACGTACAAGCCCTTACTATTATATATATGTATTTTTTTATTATATTATTAATTATATTCATATTATGCATATGCTTTATAATTAAAATGTTTTTTTCTTCCTATTTTATGTCACATTTACCATATGCTTATATTATTTTATATATTTTTTTTTTTTTAAAACAGCATTTAGTGTCTGTATTGTATACATTTGTTTACTTCCCCATTTTATTTTTATATTATATATGCTTCCAGATTGTTATATTTTATAATATATTAATTGTCTGAACCTGGTGTTGTTTGTTGGTTACCGTGCTTGATCTTTGACGCAGGCGCCATTTTGTTGGATCGATAGGGATGTAAAGACGCTTGTATCTTCCCTCAGTGCCCTCATTTCAGCTCAAATTTACTCTCTTAAGTAGCTACTCTATACTTTTTAAAGCATGCCAAAATCGATGTCACGCTAATCACATGATCCGGTCTTGGTATCCACACTTTTATTTTAATATATACTCATACTCTAATACAGGGGTCGTCAACCTAGTCCCTACCACCCACTAGTGGGCAATTCGAGATTTTAGGTGGGCGGTTTTGGGTTCTGCAGAAAATGCCCAGTGGGCCTCAATGGGCCAAAGCCAGCGGGGGAGATCCTTCCATCTCTCCTGTTGGCCTATGCAGAGCCAGCCTTGCTGTAAGCCCTCTGAGGCCGATGAAGGAGATCAAGAGGGCTTAGTACCAGCAGAGGAAGGGAAGGGTCTGGGAGGCTGAACCAGTGATGTGCCGACCTCTCCCTGGGCAGTTGCCCACCACGGAACCAGTCCCTCATAGCTTCTCCCCCTCCCAGGAGACCACTACCCACCCCAAGCGAAGACAGAATATTGGGGGACCCTGAGCTCTACCAGCATGCAGCTCAAGGGAGTGGTGAGATGTGGGATGCTGAAACCAGTGACTCAATCCATGAAAATCATATCAACAACACCTTCCACACGCAGGGTGTAGGTTGAGACAGTTGTCCTCAGTATATGTCTCTGTAAATATAGTCCAAATTATTGCAGTGTATGGCTCAAAACGACACACAGCCTTAAATCTATGCCTCCTACTTATGCCTTGCTTAAAGGGACACTGTAGTCACTATAACCATTTCATCTCTTTGAATTGTTTATAGTGCCTGGAGTGCCCTGGCACTGTCCCTCCATTCAGTGTTGCACCATGTTCGTGCAGTATGCCACAAAATAAGAGTCCCTGGTCACCCACAGTCCGGCCCCTTCTGTATGTGTAGCTAAGGCAGAGATTAGACACTGCCTTGTTGACATACTTGTTCATACAGTCAGTTGGAGCTGTGACAGGCTAAAAGCAGTCAGCTGACACTCTCAGCCAATCACAGCTGCACATTGCTGCTCAGGCTAATACTTCCTTATTAGCCAAAGTAGCACAGAGGGGATGGACTGCCGTGGACTCTTGTTTAGCATTAAAACAAACTGTTTAATGCTGAAAGAAATTATGGTACCAGGGGACTCCAGACACTATAACCAGTTTAATGAGATGAAGCAGATACAATGCCTTCGGTGTCCCTTTAAATGCCATACTGCAACTACCCTAAACCCCCACAATACAGAGCATTTCTATAGCTTATTTTGTGTCAGATTAGCTACACTTGTTTTAATTATCTAATCTAATCTGCCTATATACATGTCTAGATTGTTAATCCTTGGAAGCCTAGGTTAGATGTGTACTCCAAGCATGATTCCAGTAATGTGTTAAGTACTTTAATACAACAGTTACAGCTAATTTGTGTTACTAGGCATATGTATTTACTCAAGTATTAATAACCTACCTGCTTAAACAAAAAATGGTGCATGTCTTCTCGACTACCCCATTGTTACATGTGTCATTGCGTGAGGATTGCCGTTGGGGTACCTCATGCACGTATGTTAACTCAATATGCATGCAAAAATAAAAAATTTAATAAAAAAAAAACCCTCCTTGCTAAAAAAACAAAAATGTGCACTTGTGGCACTGGGAAATTTTACTATCAATAAATATACAAAAGTGGGTTGTAGGAATTAAAAGGTTACTGATTGTATCGGTAAATGCGCAGGGTGTTAACAATAAACCATGGTTTATTATTTTTTACCAAATAACCATATATATATATATATATTCAATTAATCTAGGAAACACATTGGAGATTATATACAAATACAAAAAAATGCAATATAACACAAGTGCTCCCCGGTGGGTAAATATATGTAAAATAAAAATCACCCTCTGTTAGATTGTTAGAAGATCCCTCAAATCTTCTTGTAAAAGTACAGGCAAAAAACAATCTATAAACATAAAAACACAAAAGACCAGAAATATGGTTCCACATGATACCGGCTGTTACGGTACCCTCAGCATGAAATGCTCAAACCGCCGTTTAGTGAATCCTCCCCTCTCGCAATAACACAGGCTGCATGCGTATCCGGTACAATCATACGAACCGCAAGCAGGGGAACGCTGTTAACTCACGAACGGGATCCGTGCGGTCACTTCACGAGCTCCAAACTCACGAATCGCCAATAGTAGCCGAACGCATATATCTCCCAAGCGGCTAATAATCCCATCCGGCAGCCTCTAGTCGTCGGTAATAAACTCCCCCAATAACGAGACCAAGCTCCGCATTGAGGGTAAAACATGAACTGGCTTTACTGTGGGCTACCTGCCCGTATTTATGCAGGTCTCCCACTTGGTGGACACTCCCCTAGGGGACCAAATGGGAGACTGTAACAATAGACAGACATATGGCAGGTTAGGACCCCACAGACACAGAATATTCCCAGAATGCATTAGTATTTCCTCCCCACTGCCCTGGAGATAATTGAGAAGTAATTCAATTATCTCCAGGACAGAGGCAAATCGCCATTTTAAATTCAACACAGAAAAACACATAAAAATATATAACTTTACATTTGTCGAATGTTACCCATTCGTATCACATATCCCCAGATAGCCTGCATCTGAGTGCATATTATTGGCGAATAGCGCACAGATCCCATACGTATAGTTCGATCGCCATGGAGTCAAAGTCTATTACAGTCTTTCGGTATGCGATTGACTCCATGGGAAGGCTATCTGGGTTAAGTCCATTTGTGCGTTTAAAACTCCCGAACGGCCGGTGTTCGTATACTTCTGTCGATTGAGAAGGGAGGTCGGCGGCTTCAGCGGTGTTCGGCGGAAAAAGTGTCCATTTTCAGTTCCATTAAATCAATGCCAAACACCGCTGGTCTTTCGCATGGTTTAAAATGGCCGCCGCCTCGTGGTCGACATACGAACGACGACCACCCTGTATTCGGTTTTAAATGAGAAGTGTCTGCGGTTAACCACAACGTTCTAATTGGGATCAAGAGGTTAACCAGCAGCACACTTCTCTTCTGGGTGGCCGTCCGTTCGGTAGTTTGTTCGGCAAAAAACGTCCATTATACGAACAGAGGCATACGAATGAGTAATTCCACGAAAACTGCAAAACAGACGAACCAGCAATCCCAGGTTATACAGATGGATCTGTCACACGGGCATCATCATTTTGGACCGCCCTGATAAAGAGACTTGGAACGCACATTACGTCCCCAGGTGTTTGAGATATTGATCGCACAACCTGATTGGTGGTTGAAAGGGTGAGAAGTTCAACATCCATATTTAAGAAGTACACAGAAGAGACCAGATTCTACACCTGACTTGCCCCTGAGAAAGTCCTAATTAGGATGAAACGCGTTGGGCGGAGGGACTTAAGAAGCACCTTTT